CCTCAGGCTCCCCCCGCCTCTTGGTTCTGGGTGCCGAGGACACAGCCCCCGGTTCCTCGGTCTGCATTCATCTTCCGGGTCACCACACCTGGGCCCTGGTGGTGAAACACCTGTGTGCTGAAGACTCGAATTCTCTGAGTGAGCCCCAAGCTTTCTCTTTCTCTTTCCCGGGTTCCAGGACCATATACCCACTGGCCTGCTCATCACCACGTGGATGTCCAAGGGGTAGCTTGAAATTAACATGCCCACCCAAACAATAACCTCCCCGCCCCAAGAGCCCCCAGGCACCACCATTCTACTCCCCTGGAGCCAAGTCCTCAGCACAGTCCTGCTTTCCTCTTCCAAACCCACGTTCAGTCCGTCACCTGCTCAGCAAACCCTCAAAACAGAGTCAGAATCCGACCACGTCTCATCGGCCCACCACTGCCCACCCCAGTCAGCACCTCTCACCTCACCTCAATTAGTTCAACATCCTCCTGACTGTCTCTCCGCTTTCATTCTCACCTGCTTCCGATCTATTCTTCATACTGCAACCAAAACGGTGCTTTTAAATCACAAGTCACAGTAAGCCATTCTTCTGCCCAAAATGCTCTGATGACCCCTCAGAGCACTTAGTCCTCAAAGGCCCAAAAGGATGTGGCTGAGCAACTCATCTCCGCCATACTCAAAAGCTCCAGCTGTTCCAGCCCTGTGCAGCTCCCGCACCCGCCAGGCACACCCCAGGGCCTTGGAACGTGCTTCTTTGCGCTCTGCTGGAAAGCTCTGTCCAGGACACCGTCACAGACAGCTCGCTTCAGACCCTCGCCCCAGGCGGCCTCGTCAGGGAGACATCCTTCGATCAATGACAACCGCACCGCTCCCCATCCCTTCTTCTGCTTTGCATAGTCCCTCACGGTATTTACACGGCCCGGCGGTACACCTCGCTGGTCTGCCTTCCATCTGCCCAGCTGGGACAGAAGCCCTGTGGAGCCAGCCTCTCTCTGTCGGGTTCACTGTCGTATCCCTGTCCCCAGGGCCACCATCACAGGCCCTGAATAAATGTCTGTTGAAGTAATTGGAGTAAAACATACGTGAGGGGTTCTCAAACACTTCCGTGGATCCACAGCCCTTTTAACAAACACAGTCCATGGAAGGATCCATCAGACAAAGCGGACAGGAGGGACCGGCTGTGTCCCGGGTGGGGTCCAACGTGGGGAGGCCAGTCCCTCTGCCCCCGCAGTCCTGGGGGAGCCAGCTGTGCCTTCCATGATCAGGTGAAGGCTGGAGGCCTGATCTGCACGGTCAGGGCACCACGGCTGTGGACACACCATGGATAAAGGACCTACGGTTATCTCGGCCCCCTGCCGGCCTCAGACTGGGATGGTCACGCCGAGCGCACGACTTTCATCATCTGATTCCATCTCTGCAGCAGCTTTGTGAGGCACGCAGTCACCTCCCCACTTTAAAGGCGAAGAGACGGAGGCACCGAGAAGTTAACTGACTTGCTCCAGGCTGCACAGCACGAGCAAAGCCAGCACGGACTTCAGCAGCCACGCTCTTCTCTGCGGGAACTAAGCCGGTCTGGCTGACGGCTTCTCGTCAAATGCCACCGACAATGCGGCTGGGAATGCTCTATGAAACATGGACACCAGCCTCACTCCCAGCTCCTTGGCAACGGCCCACAGAAGTGTGCTGACCCCGCTGACGTTTCCCTGATGCCGACATCCCGGGTGACAGGGGAGCGGTGGGTGGGCTACGGCCTGGCACCGCCCAGCAACAGCAGCCTCGTGCCCCCGGGGGAGAGGCAGGAGGGATGGGCCACGTCCCGTGTGGGCACAGCACCTGCCCAGAGCCGGGCTCTGCAAACGCTTCCCAGAAGAACCATGGTCAGTAGGGGCACAGACAGACACACAGACTCGAGGGCAGCTGGACTCTGTGGGGAATTACAGCGTCCACTGCAAGGGCCGGACTTCCTGCCCACGGCCCCGGGCCAACGCCTGTGGAACGTCCTTGCCCAAGACCCGGACCAGAACCTCCTCCTTCACGACACATTCCTCCCACTTTTCTGCTCTAACAAGGATGCACATTGTTCCACCTACTTAATTAAATTTACGCGCAGTGCAAGGAAACGGAGCACAGACCACGGGAACTGACATAAACCACGGCTCACGCTCATGCCATCCAACGCCTGGGCTCCATTAAAACAACACCTTCCTTCTTCCGCGTTGTCCACGAGCTTGTCTTCCTTTCCACCGAATGGAGGAAACGTCGTGTTAGTCGGGATTCTCCAGAGAAACAGAACCAGCTGGACGAGAGGATTTACACAGCATGTGTGTGTATATGTACATGCATGTGCACATATATGTACGTACACACGCACGGAGCGAGGAGCCTCAGTCTCTGTAACCGCGGGAGCCAGAGCCTCTTGGCTATTGTGAATCACGCTGCTGTGAACACGGGGCACAAGCACCTGCCTGAGCCCCTGCTGTCAATTCTCTGGGGTTTACACCCAGAGGTGGAATTGCCGGATCATGTGGTGGTTCTATTTTTAATTTGTTGGGAGCCCCCGTTCTGTTTTCCACAGCGGCTGAACCATTTCACATTCCCAGCAACAGTGCCCAGGGCTCGCTTCCCCACATCCTCGCCAGCACTTGCTGTTTTCTGTTTTTTGACACCAGGCGTCCTCATGGGTGAGAGGCAGCCTTTGCCAGGACTGTCACTCAAACGCACGTTTACGTCCGACCACACGAAAGCACAGTGCTCCCCCCACCCAAGTCCAGCCGCACAGTCAGCCGAGAGCTTGAGGACGCCCCCTCCCCACTCTCTACCTCTGGTCCCGTCGTGGAAACTTCCAGATGCTTCCACAGTCCTTCCCCGACTCCTGGGCTGACTGCAATACTCTGATACTTTTCACTGCAGAATATATTTTAGAATTCCCTCTGCAATGCAACTCTTCCATTTCAAGCCCCTTATTTATCATTTCTATTAGCTATTCCCAGCCTTTCGCCACCTACTATGTGCTCCCCAGATCAGCCACCTTCTGAAGGCCCCAGACCCCAAGGCCGGCCTCCACATCTGCCTGGAGACAGAGGGGTGCCTTGTGCCCCCACGGATAAGGGCTCCACTCCCCGCGGCCCCGGCAGCTGCTTCATCTGGGGTGAGAGAGAAGGACCGTGTTCTCAAGCCCCCACCTCCCCAGCATCAGCTGCTGCCCGTCCACCCAGGCACTGAGCCCAGACAGGAGGGGCCGTCCTGGAGGCCTCTCTGACCCGCACGCTCCTCACTGTTGCTGCCCATTTACATTCTCTACCCGCCTGACCTTTGGACGTTCTCTGTTTCTCAATCCCCACCCGCCAGCAACCTTTCTTCCTCTTTTCTGTCCACTGAGCACCAGCATTTTTCCAAATTAAGCTTAAATAAAACACCCTCCTTGACGTGTTCAAGCCAGATGGGTCACCTTTAACTTTCAAAAGCTGCCGCCTACTGCAGTGCCCCAAACTGTGTCCCCTAACTGGAGCGCAGCCGCCTTGGGGACGCGAATGTGTCCTCTCACACCTCCGTTCCTCGAGGCAAGCGTCATCACACTGGAAGAGAAGTCCCCTCTTTCTGTCACGAATGTTTGAAGAGCGCCTGCAGGTGGAGGGAGCAACGCCAAACCCTGAGCGCCGGTCCCACAGGAGCACGGGAGAGGGGACACAGACCTGCAGACCCCGGACACTACGGACACCCCCAGGAGGAGGAGGACGGAGGGGAGGGAGCAGATGGCCCAGGGCGGTGTGCCGGCCGGGTGGGTCAGGAAACGCCCAGAGGTCACCCCGGGTGCACAGCCACAGTGCCAGGAAGAACAGTGAGAGCACCACGCCCTCGAGTGAAGGCGCAGAAGGAAGGGACAGGAGACTCGGGGTGGAGACAGGCTCTGCGTGGGCACCGGGTGGAGCGTCCACAAACAGCAGACGGCCAGGCCCTTGGAGACACGGGGAGGGCGGGTTACGAGGGCCCACAGGCTGTGCTGGAGTCTCGCTCCGTCCCGCAGCAATGGAGAAGCTCTGAAGAAATCCGCAAGGAAATGCCGGCGTCAGATTTGCACCTGAGCGCTGTACCTCCGAGAGGAGAGCAGAGGACAGAGCAGAGGGAAGACAAACCTTACCAGTTGTAAGACTGGCGGCATGTCAGTCAAATGATGAAAGACCAACTTACTGCAGTGATGGAGGAGAGGAGATGCATTCAAGGGGCCAGAGAAGAAAAACGATCACAAACGGGCTGAGTAGACACAGAGGACAGGAGAGAACCAAAGACAACTCACATTTCTAATTTTCCTCTAGGCTGAAACTGTTTCCCAAATTATATCCCCGGGGGGAAAGAGTGTCATGATCAAAGCAGCTGAGGAAACAGAGTCTTACATCCTCCTCTCGGTGACGGACAGCCACAATCAGCATATTAAGGACTCCACAAAGTCCTGCAGGAAAAATGCTGCTCCAGTACGGGGCGAGCGTGCGGTGTGTGTTTTGCTCTTGGTTAAACTTAGCTTTTCTTAAATGCCCAAGGATCGGTATTCTAAACTTCTGTGCAGCCAAGAGATGGAGTCCAGGTGGTCTTCACAACCGTCCCCTGGGGGCTCCGCCCGCTTACTCAGAGGGCAACGAATCTTTATCCTCCAAACGGTGCCCAGGAGACTCAGCCACAGCGACTCTGGGAAAGCGAAACGCGACAGCCCCGAGCGGCTGCAAGGGGAGAGCAGCGACCCCGGGAGGGACGTGGCAGGCAGAGGTCGCCAGACGGGAGAAACAGTTTCCGCTCAGGCCACAGACAGACAGCCGTTCTTCTCCAAGAGAGCAGAGTCTAACGCAGCCTGTCAACACCGCACGCAGGGCTCACAAAATCAGCCGGCAACCCAGCCACGACACACAGCACGGAGACCACGCGGCTCGTTCGCAGGGTGCCGTCGGCCTCCGTTCCCGCGAGATCCACAGCCGCGGCTTCAACCAACCACGGATCACGCACGTCCTGCGTCACCATCTGCGGTCGGTTGAATCCGCGGAGGCGGGACTCGCGGATACAGAGCCTGCAGCTGTGCGGCCAACTGAGGGGCCTGAGCGTCCGTGGTTTGGGCATCGATGCCCCGTGGGTACCAGCGATGACTGTCTAAAGGAGGGAGCAGACCTTAGCAGTGTCATCTGTAAAACTCAACACACAGCATTAATTCCGAATACTTATTCACATAGACACTGACGTGGAGACAGACGGAGAGCCACGCAGAAGGAACAAGCGCTGGGGCCACAGAGAAAAGAACCAGGAAACTCGGCGCGCCACGGAGAGGGTGAAGCACGACCAGGACCACCCTCGCTTGCAGGGACGCCCACGTGCTCTGGCAAGGAGCGAAGTGAACGAAGCCAGGGTCTCCTTCAGCGTCTCATTCACACACAGGGACACTGAGGTTGACTGCACAGTAAAAATACACGGGTATACATGTACGTGTGCAGGTGCGAGCACGTGTGCGTGTACATATAAATACACAATCGTGTACGTACGTAGGCAGGTATTTCTCATTCAAAGTACCTTTGACTGTTTATCCACTTCTCCATGAAGGCACCATTTCAAGTGTTACAGAGACACGTCTGCACCGGGGGCTGTTCCCCGACTCCTGACACCAAGATCTCAGTGCCCACAACGTGCACACGCCACCAGCGCCCATCTCCCTGTAAACGCGACTGGTTCGTGCTCTGAGCCTGCGCACGGCGGAACCCAAACATTTCCGAACGAACAAAGTCGGCCGGCGGAGGGCCGGGGACTAATATCTTTTCAGTTACATTTCAGTTTATTCCCCAGGAATGAAAGTCGCAGAGTGTCCGTTACCAATAAACAGGGAGATAAGGACAAACGATGTGCTCTTTTAAATTTATTTCTCCTCGGGTATTAAGCTGTTTCAACTGCAATTTTGTTTCCAAAATATAACAATCTGAGAAATATGAACCGAAGAGGAACCAGAATCTCTGCTAAAATATCCTACAACCAGCCAAATTACAGGGGACACACGTCTTCCACACAACTGAGGGGTCAATGAGGTCCACACCTGCAGATCCAGCGCCACCCGGAGAGAGCTTCACAGCTCAAAGACAGACTGTCACTCTTCTGAAAAGTAAACATCCCTATCCTAGCTTTTACAACTTTGCTGAATTGTTTTAAAAAGAAATATTCTACTTTAAAATATGTAAGATTCCATTTATTACGGTAAGTCACATTGCATGTAATTTTTGCAGGTTCTTGTGAATCTCACTGTAGCTCTGCAAAACGGAGGCCGATCTCACTCATTTATTCCACCGCGTGCGGAGCACCTGCCGAGCGAGGGCAGGTCGGGGATAAAAGCTGCGTCCCATCAGAGGGGAGGTGGTGCTCCCAGCTACAGAGTAACTCGCAGCAGCTCAGCCACGGGTGAGGAGGGAGGAATCGCTCAGAGGCAGTCGCAGCTGCGCTGGGCCGAGCGAGCAGGCGCCAGCCCGGCAGAGAGGGAGGGGACGCTGTTCTCGGCAGAGCCCCCGTGGGTGGGGTCTCAGCAGCGCCGCCTGGACTGTGGGGTGCACACAGATGGGACAGTCACCAAGGACAGTCCCAGGGGTGAGTCTGGACACTGTCCTGGGAACCACTGACGGGGTCTCACACAAAACACGGCTGGGGTCTCAGACACGCATCCGAGAGGAGAGTCTGGCAGCAGAGCGCACGAGGGGCTGGTGGGAAGGATGCTGGGAGCAAGCAGATCGGTGAGGAGGACATGGTAATAATCGGCTCAAAAGGAGTAAAATGAGGGAGCAAGCCTGACGGGACGAGGTCAGAGGGAGTGGAAGGACGAGGCGCTGAGAACACAGGTGGACAGCAGATCCACCGACGAAGGACATGCCCACCCCCCAAACAGAGCAAAGGAGGAAAGAAGAAGAGCAGTCACACAACTCAGAGGAGCCAGGGGCAGGCGGGGACAGCGTTTCCTGACGACCTCTGTGCTTCTGTGTAACATAGGAGAGCTTGCTGGTTGCCCCAGACTCAAAGCGGAGACCGTTTGGGGTAAAGAACCATCTTACGGGGTACACAGAATCTTGAAGCAGTTACAGAGGCCAGTGGGCTGTAGGGGAGCGTTAGGAATATTGACTCTCAGGTGTTACAGACCGTTTGGGGTTTCCATGTTGTTTCTTAATCAGCGTCCACTGCACGGTGACAAGGTTTTCTGAGCAGCAGCCATCTGTCGAGTCGGGAAGATCCGTTATGGAATCGTCCACACTTGGAACTTCACTAAGTAGGAAAATGACAGACTTGGGGGAGGAGGGTTTGGGGGGGCGGTGGCAGAAGTAACTAAACAACAGATTCCCCAGGGCTGGCTCCTCAGGAACCACACCCAAGACAAGGGATGCAGAGAAGGACATCAGAGGCGCCCAGGGACTGGGTCCTGAGTCAGAGAGAAAGTGCCTCCCAAGCCAAGCATGGCTGTTCCTGGAGCACAGCCCCACAGGAGGCAGGTGAGCGCTGATGGACAAAATCGCAATGTTTGTTGATCGCACGGCCACACACTTAGATCCCCACCCTGCTCCTCAAGCAGAGCCTGTTGTTTTGGTGAACACTCCAACAGAACACCTGCCCCTCACAGGACGATGACGTAACTGGTCTCGACAGAGTACTGCTGGGGGAGCAGAGAGCGCTCTTCCCCCCAGTGGCTGGGGGAAACAGTCATGTTCCTCTGGACTGGTTCTTGTACCTCAGCAAAGGCACTGGTCAGACCCAAAGGGAAACACCCAACTTCCCTCTCCGATCCAGTAAAATCTGTCCAGTTAGCATCTGTGCAAAGGGAAAAACTGAAAAGTTAAAATAATGGACATAATTGAGGTTTCAACACATAACCTAGCCAGCTTTGGTCAGTAAGGACCCTGGAAGCCCCCTCAATATATTCACTTTAGGTTTATTGAGGAATAATTGACAAATAAAGTTGCAACATATTTAAAGTGAACAATGTGATGATTTAATACACGTACACATCGTGAAATCATCGCCACAATCAAGTCGATGAACACATCCACCCCCCACACAGTTCACTCGGGAGTGTGTGAGTGTGAGCGTGTGTGTGTTTGCATGCGTGCACACACGCTGAGAGTGCGTGAGATCTTCCCTCAGCAACTTCCACATATACGATCGAGTCGTGTTAACTGCGGTCACCAGGCTGTGCATCAATCCCTGGAACTTACTGAAAATCTGTGCCCTTTGACTGACAACTCCCCACTTCCCCAGCCCCCAGCCCCCAGCCCCCGGAAACCACCATTCCACTCTGTGTTTTTATGACATAAGATTTTTTTTTAGATTCCACATTTCCACCTACAAGTGATACCATAGAGTATCTGTCTTTCTCTGTCTGCATATTTCACTTAGAATAATGTCTGCCAGGTTCATCCATGTTGTCACAAATGGCAGGTTTCCTTCTTTTATATGTGAATGTACACCTCACATTTTCTTTATCCACCTGTCAGTGGACGCTTCGGTTGTTTCCAAATCTTGGCTCTTGTGACTAATACAGTGAACGTGTGGGTGCAGAGACCTCTTTCAAGATATCGATGTCATCTCCTTTGGATATATATCCAGAGGTGGGGTTGCTGGGTCATATGGTAGTTCTATTTTTAATTTTTTGAGGGATTTCCATACTGGCTGTACCAATCTGCACTCCCACCAACAGTGTACAAAAGTTTCCTTTTTCCAACAAATAATCTGATTAAAAAGTAGTCAAAGGACCTGAACAGACATGTTTCCAAAGAAGACACACAGATGGCCAACAGGCACATGAAAAGATGCTCAACAGCCCTGATCACCAGGGAAATGCGGATCAAAACCACAGTGAGACACTGCCTCACACCTGTCAGAATCGCTGTTCTCAAAGAGACAAGAGATAAGTGCTGGTGAGGATGTGGAGAAATGGAAACCCCTCAATCCAGCCTTAGACCAGCACACCATCAATCCTGGACTCCATACACCATCAGCATGATGAGATCAAGAGTGTGATCCTGGGGGCTGGCCCTGTGGCGTGGTGGTTATGCCTGACATGCTCTGCTTTGGCAGCCTGGGTTCGCAGGTTCGGATCCTGGGTGCAGAACCACACCACTAGTCAAGCCATGCTGTGGTGGCGTCCCACATACAAAATAGAGGAGGACTGGCACAGAGGTTAGCTCAGGGCTAATCTTCCTCAAGCAAAAAAAGAGGAAGATTGGCAACAGATGTTAGCTCAGAGCAAATCTTCTTCACCAAAAAAAAACAAAAAACAAAAAAAGAGTTTGAATCCTGAGCCCAGTTAATAACAACTGTTGGCTGATAAGTCTAGAACTACAGTGTATGGGACTCTCCCCCATACGTCCTAACTATAAATCCTAACACGCTTTCCTGCAAACACTCTCTCTCTCTTCCCAGCGGCTGCATGAGCCTTGTGATTGCTCCCCGTGCCCTCTGACCCACAGCCTCAATGACCTCCTCAGAAGGAAGAGCAAAGCCATGCACAGGAACTCTGAACTTCGCACTAAACAGACCAGGGGTCCCTCTGATTTCTCTTCATTTGGAGACGCGTCCATGTAGCTGAAGCTGAAGCCCCGACTGTTCCCCATCCCACGCTCTCCTTAAAGGGTTTGCTTCTATTATTTTCGCATCTCTGTCACATGTGGAACCCGCCCCCCCACCACTGACCTTTCCACACGAGCATCTCAACACGCTCCAATTTCTCCCATCATTAAACAGGAGACCCACAGCTGGCACCAGAGCACAAGGACCGCCACTGCCGATTCCCCTGAAAGTGGGGAAAATTACAACAAAACAAAACCACCATTTACAGCCTCTGGAAATGGTCCTGAGGCAAACAGCAAGTGGAGAAATGTCTATTTAAGAAAATCTGAAAATTTGGTGAAAAAGGTGAAAGTCTGTGGCATTTGAACCAAAACCGATTCCTCCTGCCTCCCTCCCAGCACTCAGGACGGCCACAGCCAACAACAGGCCACTCACTCCCTAGCCGTTCTCCGGGGGCGGGGGCGTGGGGGAGGCTCTGCAGGGACTCACACGCTGCCCCCTGGGCCCGTGGCTGAGGCCAAGCCCCGGTGAACGCGGTGGAGAGCCACAGGCCCCCTCCACCCACTGAGGTCCCTCACACGGCACAGTCTCTCCCTGAGTGCAGCACAGAGAACAGTGGGACACCCATCACCCCGCCCGGCACATGATGTGGTGACTCCAGGCCAGGACAGGAAGCTGAGGAAACCCCAGGCTGCTGCCACCCCACCAAGCGCTCAGCTCCCAGAGCGGGGTACCACTCAAAGAGAAGCTCACGTGGTCCCCACCCCCTGCTCCAGAGCCCTGGCTCAGAGACTGCACACAGCGGAGAAGCCAACGCTTCCAACTGCTTCACTGGCAACAGAGCACAGAGAACTTTCACACCCAAGGGAGCCCCCAAAACTAGTGGAGGTTGAGGTGAAAGGTGACGGGGAGGAGATCCGGACACAGGGAGAACTGGGGAGGAGGAGGCGGGAGGAGCCCACTCAGGTCAGATCAACAATCAAAAAGGGGCCAGAAACTTCTCCTGATCCAGAACATGAAGTGAGTTTGAAACGGGCTCAACACAAGGTTGACGTGAGGGAAGCCACATTGTAGAGAATAAAGCTATCTTGTAGCTTTGAATGACCCCTGACTGACTAACCCCACTGGATGTGCCCCCTCCAGGAGATTCACCTTCTCTGTAGATTCTAGGACTCCTGCTTGTGCATATACCTCCCAGCTGTGATAAGACAGTAACTTCGTTCTTTTGAGTTCCTTAGGAATGTGGTGACCCCCGAACAGAGAGTCTGTGCTGACAGCCGTCATCAGTGACGACTGAAGATCTGGTGTGGCCACTCCCAGTCTGTAACACCTGAGAGTCAATATTCCTAACGCTCCCCTACAGCCCACTGGCCTCTGTAACTGCTTCAAGATTCTGTGTACCCCGTAAGATGGTTCTTTAGGATGCTGGTACCCCCATCTTGCGATTTGCTAGCTTATCGCTTAATAAATGCCCTTCTCTGCCACCGTCTTGCCTCTTGATTGGCTTCTGTCTCACACTGAGCAGATCATGCCCTTTGTGGGGTAACAAGTTCGCTCACCCGCTGCGCAGAAGCCAATCTGTGACACCAGGTGCAGTGGAAGAAAGTAGGAATTTTATTATTGCACAGCACTGAGCAAGGAGCAGGGGCAGC